AGCAATTCAGGAGGCTGAGGCAGGAGGATCATGGGTTCAAAGTCAGCCTTAGCAATTTAGTGAGGCCCTTAGCAACTCAGTGAGACCCTTTCTCTAAATAAAATATATAAAAAGGGCTGGGGATGTGGCTCAGTGGTTAAGTGCCCCTGGGTTCAAACCCCGGTACCAAAAACAAACTTGTGATCCTCCTGCCTCAGCTTCCCTAGTTGCTGGGATTACTGGGTATGCATGCTATGTCCCAGGCTTGAAAGACTGATTTAAAAAAGAAAGAAAGAAAGAAAAGCTTTGACTGAAATAATATATCTGCAAAACAAATGGCTCCAGAGGTGGGTGTTTAGCTCAGTGGAAGAGTGCTTGCCCAGTAAGCCCAAGGCCATGAGTTCAGTCCTCCACCCTGGGGGGGAGGGGAACAAAACAGACTCATACATGGAATAAAGGGTCTCTCACAATTCAATAAGAAAATTACTCCCCCCATACTTTTTTTTAAATATTTTTTTTAGTTGTAGTTGGACACAATACCTTTCTTTATTTTATGTGGTGCTGAGGATCGAACCCAGAGCTTTCCATGGGCTAGGCAAGCACTCTACCACTGAGCCACAACCCCAGCCCCTCCCCACCATTTTTTTCATTGCTGGTGATCAAGCCTAGGACTTCACATATGCTAGACAAGCACTCTACCACTGAGTTACATCCCAACCCTCCAATTTTAAAACAGGAAAAAAAAAATGAACCGACACTTCACCAAAAATTCTGACTTTGGAGTCAGACAGATCTGGCCACTCCACTGGGAAGGGGTGGTGGATGTGTGGAAGGCATTAAGAACCTGGCAATAAAACAAAAAATCCCAGAGGCCCTCCTTTTTGGTCTGGCTCAAGAGGAAACTCCCCAACACATAGGAACAGGGGAGAATTGGTTCATTTCCTTTTTCAGTCATCAGCACTAAATTCGTCCCAGACTACTTGTGGAGCCAGACAGGGAGAAGATACTTTAGGTGTCGGGTCACACATCTGTATTACAGGGGAAACGGGAGATGCAATCATCAAGCTGGGAAGTAGGGAGCAGGAATCCCAGAAAAGGGGACTAAGCCACTGTAGGTAGTTAATTGGTCCTTTCCCAAATAATCAGAAGAGAGAAAGAGATCTCTGGCCAGGCCTGGAGAACTAAAATCTTCCACCCATTCAGGACTAGGATGGAGCTGGCCTGTGGTGGAAGAGGAAGAGGAAAGCAATGGCGGATGGGACTGGAGGGCAGGCTTGGGCAAGGTTCTGGAAGAGCTTCCCAGTCAGCTTCCAGCCTTTTTCGTTTTTCTTTTCTCCTTTTCAGTACTAGGAATTGAACCCAGGGTTTCTTTCACACTTGCTAGGCAAGAGCTCAGCTATACCCTCAGCCCAGCTTATAGCTTTTAGACCTCAGCTTCAGAGCAGTAGGGAGTCATTAAAAGTTTTTTTTTTTTTTTAAAGATAGAATGAGAGAGAGAGAATTTTTTAATATTTTTTAGTTTTTTTTGGCGGACACAACATCTTTGTTTGTATGTGGTGCTGAGGATCGAACTCGGGCCGCACGCATACCAGGCGAGCGTGCTACCGCTTGAGCCACATCCCCAGCCCATCATTAAAAGTTTTAAATGAAAAGCAACGGAAACCACCTGTGACCCTCTTCTCAAAACCCAGATCTAATAAGAGAAAATATGACAAGCTGAAATTGTAGCAATAATCTACAAAATACCTAACTAGTACTCCTTAAAACTCTCAAGGTCAGCAAAAACAAGTCAAGTCTAAGAAAATGTTTCTTAGAGGAGGCTGAGGCGACATAACAATTAAATGTAATGTGGTAATCTAGAAGGAATCCTAGAACAGAAAACAATAGAGAAAATCTAGTACTAGTGAAATAAAGTATGAAGTTTAGTTAACAGTAATTTGCCATACCATGGACAATTATTTAACAATAAAAAAGGATGGAATACTTTACATGCAATACCACAGATAAGCTTTGAAAACATTGTGCTAACTGGACACAAAAGACCACATACTGTCTGAGTCCATTTATCTGCAATGCCCAGAATAAGCCAATCTAGAGACAGGAAGTAGATAGTGGTTGGAGGGTGCTGGAGGGTGAAGAGGGGAATAATGGGGAGGGACTACTGATGGGGCAGGTTTCTTTTATGGTACAAAATATAAAGTTCTAAATTTAGATTGTGGTGATGGTTGCAAAACCCTGTGAACAGACAAAAAGTCACTGAAGTGTGTGCTTTAAATGGATAAATTCAACGTGGTTTGACAGCATACCTATAGATCTGGCTACTAGGAAGGCCAAGGCAGATGAATTTTGAGTCAGTGCACTTAGTGAAACCCTGTCTCAAAAACAGTAATACTGGGCTGGGAATAGATCGTTTCTGTAGCATGTGTGAGGCTCTGGTCTTGAACCCCAACAAGAACTCTCACAAAATAATGTTGGGTTTGTCTTAAGCAAACAATAATAATAATAATAATTATTATTATTATTATTATTACTGGTACCAGGGTTTGAACCCTGGGGTGCTTAACCACTGAGCCACATCTTCAGCCCATTTTACATTTTATTTTGAGAAAGGGCCTTGCTAAATTACTGAGGTTGGCTTTGAATTCACCATTATCCCATCTCAGCCTCCTGACGCTGGGATTACAGGTGTGTGCCAATGTGCGTGGCTCATAAAAAGATGTTAATAAGAAAAACTGAGTGAACTCTGGACTACTGTTGTAAATTTTCTGTAAATCGAGAAACTATTCTAAAATATAAAAAGCTTAATAAATAGGAAGGCATCAAATTAAAAAGCTGCACAGTAAAGGAAACAGGAAATGTGAAGAGAGAACCATAAAATGGGAGAAAATCTTTACTAGCTACTCTGCTGACAGATGATTAATATCTAGAATATATAAAGAATTCAAAAAAGTTTACACCTGGCTGGGGTTGTGGCTCAGTGATAGAGCACTCCCCTAGCACATTTGAGGCACTGAGTTCGATTATCAGCACCAATAAAAAACAAATAAATAAAATTAAGCTGCAGGGATGGGAAGGACAGTAGAATGAGATGGTATTATAACCCTATATAAATGTACAATTACACTACTGGAGTGACTCTGAACCATGTACAGCCAGAGGAATGAGAAGTTGTGCTCCATTTGTGTCCAATATGGCAAAAGGCATTCTGCTGTCATGTATAACTAATTAGAATAAAAATAAATAAATAAAACTAAGGAAAAAACAAAAAACTTCACACCAAAATCAAATAATCCAATTAATCAATAGGCAAATGAATTAAACATTTTCCCTAGTTCCCTAGTTGTTTTCTGTTCCAGGATTTCTTCTAGATTACCATAACAGGGGCTGGGGATGTGGCTCAAGTGGTAGCTCGCTTGCCTGGCATGCGTGTGGCCCGGGTTCGATACTCAGCACCACATACAAAGATGTTGTGTCCACCAAAAACTAAAAAATAAAAAAAATATATTTAAAAAAATTCTCTCTTTCTCTCTTTTAAAAAAAATAGATTACCATAATACACTTCTTCTCAAAAGAAGAAATACAAATGGCTAACAAATATATGAAAAAATGTTCAATATCACAAGCAATTACAGAAATGCAAGTCAAAACTACACTGAGATTTCATCTCACACCAGTCAGAATGGCAGTCCTCAAGAATACAAATTAGGGCTGGGGATGTGGCTCAAATGGTAGCACGCTTGCCTGGCACGTGTGCGGCCCGGGTTCGATCCTCAGCACCACATACAAACAAAGATGTTGTGTCTGCCAAGAACTAAAAAATAAATATTAAAAAAAAATTCTCTCTCTCTTTAAAAAAAAAAAGAATACAAATAAAAGCTGGAGACGATGTGGAGGAAAAGGAACACTTTTTCACTGCTGGTAAGATTGTAAGTTAATTAGTACAACCACTATAGAAGACAGTAAGGAGGTTCCTCAAAAGACTAGATGTGGAACCACCGTATGACCCAAGTATACCACATCTTGGTATCTGTTATGATGAATTAAAGTCATCATACTACAGTAATACATGCATACCCAGGTTTATAGCAGCACAATTCACAATAGCCAAACAATGGAAGCAGCCTAGATGACCATTAACGTATGAACAGAAAAGAAAATTGTTCTCCCTCATATGCAGAAACTAAAAAAAAAGGAAAAGGTGAGGGAACATTTTATAAAAATCAAAGGGAGGTCAGTTACAGAGAGGGACCAAGAGGTTGGAGGGAAGGAGGATGTAAGGGGTAGTGGTCAAATTATATTGTTATAGGGTGTGCATGTATGAATATGTAACAACAAATGCCATTATTATGTACAACCAAATGCACCTAACAAAAAATGGTAGCTAGGCATGACGGCATGTGCCTGTAGTCCCAGCTACTCGGGAGGCTGAGGTAAAAAGATCCTTTGAGCTAGAGTTCAAGATCAGCCTGGGAAACAAAGAGGGCCCCTTCTTAAAAACAAAACCCAAAACTTACTCAAATAAAATTATAGTCACATTGAATGCAGTGACACACACCTGTAATCTCAGGAGGCTGAGGCAGGAGGATCAAGAATTCAAAGCCAGCCTCAGCAACTTAGCAAGATCCTAAGCAACTCGGCAAAATCTTGTCTCTAAATTAAATATTTTTTAAAAAGGCTGGGGATGTGGCTCAGTGGTTAAGCACCCCTGGGTTCAATCCCAGGTACCAAAGTAAGTAAAAATAAATAAATAAAATTATAGCCATTAACTAGCTATATACCTTAATTAATTACACACATACACACACTCACACATTTTTGTTTAAAGCAAAGGGGTGCTCAGTGTGTACCTTGGGTTACAAGGCCCACATGGCAAGAAGCTTTCCCAATCCTAAATGCTAACAGAGTCGTATGGGGCCACAGGGAAAACTCTATTAGATGGCTTCCCAGGAGAGGCATGCAGCTGGGTGGGTGCATATTCATTTCCTATTGGGGCTGTATCAACTGACCACAAACTCAGAGGCTTAAAACAACACCAATTTATTCTTACACTTCTAGAGGTCAGAAGTCCAGAGTGGTTTTCACAGGGCTAATGTCATGTCAGGGAGCTGCATTTCTTGGTGGAAGTTCTAAAGAATGTTTTCTGCTTTTCCCAGCTTCTCCATGACATCTGCATCCCTTGACAAATGGCCCTTTCTTCTATCTCTGCAGCCAGTGGCATGAAGTCCTCCCCTCTCTCTTGCTGACCCTCATGACTTCCCTCTTTTACTCATAAATTCCACTGTGATTACATTGGGCTCACCTCAATAATTCAGGGTAATCTCTCTTCTCCAAATTAACTTTATCACATGTCCAAGTCCCTTTGCCATGTAAGGTAACATTCACACGTTCTGGAGTTAAGGACACAGTTAACTTTGGGGGCCATTATTCTGCCCAATTCACATCAGTGAGGTGGATTCAGGAGGCTATAAGGGGAAGGTGACGTCAATTTTGGATAGCTGGAGTCTGAGGTGCCTACAGACATCCAGAGAGAATTGCCCTTAGCCTCCACATATTCATCAAATACTGACTAGGCACCTCTTAGGAGCCATTCGCCTGTAAAGGAGAATACTATTTCTTACAGTTTAAGAGACCTGCTTTTCACTTCTGAAGATTTTTTAAATCAATTACCTTTTAATCAATGACACAACTGTAACTGGCATCTTCTTTCTTGTTGACACTCAAAATATCCTACTGCCAATGGTTTCTTGGAGCCAAGGAAATTCTGATCTCAGCTGACACTGGAGGAGGCCTTATAGTACAAGTTGGAGGGCTTGAGAGAATATTAAATGGGCTGTGGGTATGGCTCAGTGGCAGAGCATGTGCCTAGTAATGTGGCCCTGAGTTCAGTTGCCCCAGCCTCATGGGCAGAGGCAAGCCAGTATCCCCATCCAGTCTGGCCCCTATCTTTTCTAACTCTTAGCCAGGTTCTTGCTACCCTGGGGCTCCTTTTTATCCTGTGCTCTGGTGCTCAGATCCCTTGCAATTAACAGACTCCATCAGAGCCACACAATGCTCAGCTCTGCTGCCCCATCAGGGTGGAGGAACTGGCCTCTCTCCAAGTATGTCTCAGTCAAGGAGACAGGCCTGGTGGTTATCAGCTGAATGAAAACTTCTAAAAGACCAATCACCTAGGCTACAGGCCATCTCAATCAGTATCTCGGAGGAGAAGTGTTTTACAACTCCCCAATAAATTCCAATGGGCAGCCAAGATGGAAAAATGGAAAATCAATCTAAGTTGGTTCAAGTGAGGTGAGGTATAAGGCAGCACTGGTGGGGGTGAGGTCATTATATCCAGGCAGTAGAGTGATACCTGTCTCCTCCCACCAGCCCAGTTATCTACTTTCTCTAAGTACTAGTCCCGGGCAAGACATATGTGGGAGCCCAGGAAATGTAAGCTGTAGAGTCTCAAAGGCCAAGCAAAAAAGGCTTTGTGCCAAGAAAGGTCTGGGAAAGAAGCCCATTGGGTCTAGGCCAGCTTTCTTATTCACTGTATGACTTCCAGTAAGCTGTTGCCCCTCTCTGTGACTTTATAAAGCATGACTGGCCCAGGTGGACCTGAAAGGCCCTATAAGCGTCACACAGTACACAGTTCACACTTCACCCAAGTGCAGTGAGAACTACTACAAAAGATAGAGGAATCAGATTAGGAAAGGTATTGGTGCTTACCTCTGTGGGACTCTGGATGATCCTGACCTACCCATCCCACTTCTGTCTGACATCTAAGAAGATTAAGTGGGAAGACAGTGTGTAAGACTTCCTGCTCACCTTCAATAGGGTTCCAAAGTCTTCCAGATATTCCCACCCTCCAGCCCTAAAATCTCTGGTTCTGGGGCTCTATAACCTGGGAGATGTAAGGACAGAGAATCTGAGGTCCTGAAAGTCAAAGACCTAAAAACAGCAAAACAAGACTCCCCAGAAAAGACCGGAGAATAGAGTGTGAGAGATTCTTACATGGTGAGCAGAGTCTGGGTAGGCCACAGGACACCTGAGAGGTACCAGTTCTGCCACTGAGGGTGGTAAACAAAGGTGAGGTGGTCTAAGATATCAGAAACTTCCAAGGAGGAACTTCACGGAAGGAAACACTCAAGGACTGAAGCAAGGCCAAAGAGGCTATGAAAAAGGCCCCTGGCTTTTGGCCATTAGCACAGCCAAGGCCCTAATGCACACTCAACACTTTTATTGGGAAAGGGAAACTGAAAAGCAGCCTTCAGTATCCTCACTGCTTGAGGCAGCTGGGCCACCTCCACCAAGTCCAGGAAAGAAGGGACCACCAAATTGGCCCTCAGCAGGCTCAGGTGTAGAGGTCAAAGTCAATGCGTTTGGAGTTATAGAACTGACCACCAGGGGGGTCCAGCTTCCGACAATAAACACCATCCGGGAAGTAGCCTTCATTCACCCAGGTCTGCAGGAAGAGAGGACAGAACTGGAGAATGCCGACAGGAGTCAGGGAAGGGAGGGACAAGGCAGAAGGAGGTAGGAGGGGCTTACCTGCATCTGGGCACTAGTAAAAGGCCCATATAGCTCGGCATCTCCTGTGTTCTCCCACTTATATTCCCACATCACATCCACTAGACCATCTCCTGGTGATTCTGCTTCTAAAATAACAGGCAAAGCCATTTGGGCCTCAAGTGCCCTGCCTCCTGCCCACAATACCCCTCCTCTGCCCTTCAAGCTCACCTCCTTTCTGGGTAGGGGTCGGGGTCTCGAGCTCTCCCTCTGTTACTTCCTCAGCAAACATGTCCAGGGAGGGTGTAGGTATGGGGTCATGGGGTCCCTGAGTCCGGCACCCCAACCCCTTTAGACGCATAGCCAATCGCTCCCTTGTTTCCTGGTATACACCAAGGTTGCCTCGGGCCACCATCTGGTCGGCCAACCCAGAGAGCCGGTCTAGGCGCTGGGGGGAACTGGGCCTCCCAGGCCCCTTGCTGCCCCCTTTGCCTCCTCCTCGGGCCCCCAGACGCCTGAGTGCCCCAGCCACTGTCTCTCTTGGCAAGAGAAGCTCCAAAAGTCCCTCCAGGAGGGCTTGGGCACTCATTGGTGTTTGTCCCAGGCCATCCTCCTCCTCTGAGTCTGAGGCCTGGCGCTGATCAGGTGGCCGCTCCCTGATTTTCACCTGTAATAGAAATTATTACCCACCAACTGCCACTGGGGGCTTAGGCCCAGGACTTGCCACCCCCAGGCCTCAGCCATGCCAGCCCCTAGGCCACACCCAGTCAATGTTGTCCAGCCAGCTGTCACGGATCTGAGCATCCCGGTTCAAGAAGTAGTTGCCATCAGCATCAAAATGGCCTTCCTCCATCTCTTCCTGCAGGTTGAAAGGTGTGATCCGAACACCTCCTTCACTGGGGAGTGTGGCTGCTTCCTGACCTGGACCAAAGATACAATTGCTCTATGCTATGTGTGTAAAAGACAAGAGCGCCCTTTGCTCCACACTCCAAAAGCCCCTACTTGTCCCTCCAACAGAGTCAATTTTTTTTTTTTAACACAATCAATTCTTGGATATAGCTCACCTTCTACATCCTCGGAGGCCAGAATGTCATATTTGCTGGATCCCTCTTCATCATCGTCTTCCTCATCACTGTCCAAGGAGTGTTTGCCTTTGAAGCGGCTCCCAGGACCCCCTGCCCCAGCCACAGGGTCCACTAGCTGTAAGCAAGAATCAGCAAGTTAGAAATGCAGATTACTGGCTAATTACCCATATACTCCAGGTTATGGTTCCAAGCTGAATATTTTCCAAACCTATTCCTCAAGAATGTGGAAAAACTTTTTTTTTTTTTTTGACATTTCTCACTCCCCAGTTCTTTCTCTTCAGGCTTTTAGTTCCTCTTTTCCCTTCATACCTCCCCACAAGAGTCTGGTCACCTCACCTTCTTCTTGGGAACACTGATTTCATCCTCCTCATCCTCATCGCCCACGCCCTGGAAGGTCACTTTCCTCTTTGGCATGATTGGGCAGAAGAACCTTTCTCCAGCTGAGCCAAAGGAAAGGATATGAAAGTAAGGGAAGGGGGGGGGCGGAGCTCAGCGCGAGTCGGCCCCCGGCGCAAAACAAACAAACAAACAAACAAACAAAAAAAAACAATGGCATATGCCAAGTCCCGTTTGGGAGGGGAGCACGTACAGAATCAAGAATCAAGAGTTGAAAGGGAGCTGGCAGCCAGGACATCCCCTTGAAATTTGGTTTGGCTTCTGAAAGAGTTAGTGAGGCAGAAACAGAAGGACAGAAGCGCTAAGGATGCCCCTGTGGACCCTATGGGGCCCCCCATGCCGGATGAAAGGAGCCAGGCTCCCCACGTCATCATCCCCATATCAGTCTAGCGCGACCCGGCTCGACTGTCTGGTGACACCCGGTCCCCACACCCGCAGCGTCCACAGAGCCCGGGCGGGCCCAGGACCTGGCGCCCTAGTCGCCCCGTTTCTCCTCTCGCTGAACTCCTAATTCCACGCGGCGACTCCCCCACCAAAAACTAGTCGGCCGGCAGAGCCATAGGGATTCAGGCACTCTCACCCGCTCGCGCTCACCTGGGAATCCAGGAGAAAAAGGAAAAAAAGGAAAGATGCTTTGGCCAGGGATACATCCGGGGTATCGGCCTCTATCACCCGGAAGAGGACTGCGGAAGGCGCCAGAGGAGGCCGGAAGTGGCTTCACTCCAGTCAGTGGATTAACTGCAAGAGCGGGCGGAAGTGCGCGGTGAGCGAGGGAAGACACCCTCGCTGTCTTCCCCGCCAGAAGTGACGTAATCCGCGTGGCTGTAAAGACCAGAACAGTGGATATAAGAACGCCTAAACCGTGACCCGGCACGAGGGACGACCGGAAGAGACTTTGGCTCACTCATACAACAGGAGAGGCTCTGGAGAGAATGTTGAGCGCATTCTACTTACAGGGGCGCCTAGGGTCTGGATGTAGGACAAGAGTCCGAGCAGGGACAGTGAATTCCTGCTTCAGTTTAAATTTTTGCAGGCACAGTTCGAGTCGCCCTTCCCCCAGGACTCTGCGCCCCTCACCATTTCATTATACTCTGGTTTCCCACTCCTAACGTCCAGCTGTCAGTCTTCTCATAGTCTGAAAGCCGCGGCCTTGCTTTTGTCCGAGCGGAAGCCCTGCTCACCTAATAGCCCACCTGCGGGGCTTTAATGACCTTTGGGGTACTTTATGAACCTAGCTCCCTCTAGGACCCAGGGGAAGTCTTTTGCCCCACCCCTATTCCTTGGGCCAGTTCCTGGTTTCTTAGGTGAAAGAGCCATCATAGGAGAGGTGGCATTGGCACCGGTGCCCCATCCCTGGACAGAAGTCCCCGTTGCTCTCCTCTCAGGTAGGCCTAGAAAAGGACAACAGTTGCTAACAGCAAACCTGTAATTCCAGCGACGCTGGAGGCTGAAGCAGGATTACAAGTTGAAGACCAGCCTGGGCAAATTAGCGAGACCTTGTCTCAAAAAAAAAAAAAGGGATGTAGCTCCGTGATAGAGTTTCTTGGGTTCAGTTCCCAGTAACTACAGCTGCAGGAAGCAGCTCATCCCACCCCTTAGCTAACAAGGCCTGGTCACATCTGCCCAGGTGATTGGAATCTGGCCCCAAGAAGAGGTGGGAGGGATCTTGTCAGGACTACACCTGTTGCTATTGAGAACGGAGCCTCAATCTCCCTAGACCTAGATTGTCCAGGCAGAGCCTTCTGCAACTAGAAAGCAGCATGAGGCTCCCTCCAGGCAAACCAGGTGGACCACTTCTCTCTCCCCAGGGTTTTCTCCGTTTTGGATCACCATGAAACTACACCGAAAATCTGTGCTCAGTTTCTTCCATGAGTTCAGAACACAGGCACCAGACCAGGAGGGCATCTTGCTAAAGAAAGGAGCCCGAAACACCAGCTACCAACGCCGCTGGTTTATCCTCCGGGGAAATCTCCTTTTCTACCTGGAACACCAGGCAGACCACACACCACTGGGCCTTATCCTGTTGGAGAACTGCCAAGTGGAGCCATGCCTTAAGGCCACTGAACCCTATGCCTTTACCATACTCACCCCAGGGATACAGAGTGCATGTGGGCGGGCCTACAAGCTAGCAGCAGAAAACCAGGAAGAGCTGGAGGCTTGGCTCTGTGCCCTGGCTGGGGTGAGCTGGAGGCGACTGTATGGGCTGCTATCCCTGTTGGAAGCCCAGTATCAGGAGTTGTGCCAGGCAGCTGGCCAAAAACCCAACTCACACCTAAAGAACCGTGACTTTGTAGCTACTCTCAGTGCCCCCTCCTGCTTCCAGGAATTGCACGAGCGCTTTGGGAAGGAGATACGGATGCTGAAGGCAGTGCATAGAGGGCCCCAAGCCAGTGACAAAGGAGGCAGTAGAGCCCAAGCAAATCTGGAGCAGGAGCTTAACCAGTGTTTGTTGATCAGTGACTGAATGATGGACCAAAGGTCAGCAGACTGCTTCAGTAGAGACCCAGGTCCTGGCTCTCTCCTTCCTCCCTAATTCTTATCCCCCAAACCCCTTCATCAAATAACAAGGCGGGACACAGGCCCAGGTACAACAGCAGGTTCTTTTTCCGGTTCCTCAAAGCGTCGCATGGGATGGGAGATGAGACAGAAGAGAATGTAAACATTGGATTCCACCCCTTGGAGCTCAAGGGAAGACCCCTTACTCAAGAGCTTGAGGGTTGGAAGGGAACAAGATGAAGGAGGGGGGGATCCTGGTGAGACAAAGCAGAGGCCTGAGAATATAAAGCAAGGTGGGTAAGGGAGGAGAGCAGAATGAGCGTGGGAGGGGAAGTGGGGGACATTTCCTATTTCAGTGCATGTCCCCTTAAATAAATTGGAGTGCAGGAGAACTGAAAGACAAAAGACAGAGCGAGCACCCCCCATCCTGGGCCAACCCGGTCCTCTGTACATAATTACAACACAGAGATGTTCAGAAGTAGAATGAGGAGAGTCTTGGCCCCCAGAAAGGAAGTGGGGAAGACAGGCAGGGTCAAAGAAGGGAAAAGGAACCCAGCTCCACCTCATGAGTAAAGGGAGCCACTGGAGTGTAAGAATCTGCAGACTGCCAACTGCTATTGCCAAGAATCACCCTGTGGTGACCGGAGGCCAATCAGGACAGCACCTGGGAGGGGACCTCAGAGGGAACTGGCAGGAGTGACAGAGACCCCAGCTGGGTCTAACTGGAGGCAAGAGTCTCCAGACTTGGTCACAGCTGCTCCATGCACTGTGGCTGTCCTGGCTGTGTAGGTATCAGCAGCTGGCAAGGAGATGGGAAGTCAAGCCACTTTCCTCATAAAGAGGGACACCTGCTGAGGGGCTTGGGGAGCACCCCAGGCCAGTCCTTCTCTTGGCTGAGGGGAAAAGAGAGGGGCCATGCAGTTCAGCCCCAGGCAGAGGTCAGAAGTAAGCATCCTGCCGGGCTTCAGCTGCTGAGGACCTGTCCCCACCATCCTGGGGTGCTGGGGGCCCATCTGCCTTTCGACGCAGTGAAATCTTCCGGCCTTGGCCCTTCTTCTCTTGCTTCTGCCTTTCCTTCTCCTGTTTCTGTTGCTCCTTCTCCTGTTTCTGCCTCTCCTTCTCCTGCTTCTGCTGTTCTTTCTCCTGCTCTTTTTCCCACTTCTGCCGCTCCTTCTCCTGCTTCTCCCGCTCTTTCTCCTGTCTCTGCCGCTCCTTCTCCCGCTCTTTCTCCTGTTTCTGCCGCTCCTTCTCCTGCCGCCTGGTTTCCTTGCTGGGACCCAGAGGGGTGCTGTTGCCAGTAGGTGAGGGAAGGGATGGATGCAGTCCCTCAGCAGTGACAACTGGCCCTGGGGCAGGCCCAGCACTGGCCCTGCGGGCAGGAGGAGGTGGGGAGGGGGCCCCTCCAGCTGCCCGGGAGCCTCGGCTCTTGAGGCCAGGGAGACTGAGTAGGCTGGAGGAGGGGCCCAAAGGTGGCTGTTGCCGCCTTCGCTCTTCATGGATGGCCCGGGAGCCATGTAGTCTCCGTGAAGGCCGATATTGTAGCTCTCCCCGGGTTTCCCTCCACTTCTTCAGCTGGGCTGCATTTTCTCGCTCAATTAGTGCTTCCGTCACTGGGAGGTTAGTTACCTAAACAAAGAGGAAATGGGTACCATAATGAAGATCATGGGAATGTGCTCAAGCAGGTAGGGGTGTGCTGAGGCTCAATTCCTACCTCGTGTACCAAGAAGTCCTCTTGCATGCACTGTTGGGGCAGGTTGCGCAGTTGCTCCATGGTTTCATACATGCCTTGGCAAGAACGAAGCTTCTCCACTGAGCCTAGTGTGTGTCGCAGCAAGACCAGGGCCACCCGGAAGATGATCTTAACACCTGCAAGATCAGAGAGGAGAACATGGGGGATCCAGGCCTGGGATCTCAGCCTGTCTCAATTATGAGGGACTTACAGACCCTATCTCTGTCTACTGTCAACCTTATAACTGAGGAAATTGAGGTTCCAAGAAGGGAAATGAGTTGCAATGAGTATTATATTCCTGGGAGGGAGAGCAGGTTCTAGGTTGGTAACTTAACCAAGACCAGGCCTGTTGTTCCAGGCTGGGGAAACAAGTTCCTTTTGTCAGTGGTCTGCCAGAAATGTAACAGGACCATCTGGTAGCCACCATGCAAACCCCAGTTCCCTCATAAGCTTGGATGGCCATGGAAGTACCTTCACAGAAAAACATGTCCCAGACGCGAAGCACTGAAGCCCAAGGCAGGGTGCGGGCAAAGATGCACATGAACCATTCCGTCATGTAGAGCACAGGGTCAATGCGCTGTCGCCGTAGGTGCCGATGTGCCAGTGGGGAAGCCCGGCGCAAGAGTGCAAAAAAAATTTCTCCATCCAGCTGAATGGCCTCCTAGAGGTGGGAAGAGCCATGAGAAGAAGTCCAGCCTGCTATGGCACCCTTGAAGTAGAATCAACCCTGACAGGGGATCCTCATCTCAGTGGTAAGAGGCCCAGAGGAAAGGGATAGAAGGGCCAGGCAGGGTGTGGAAGGGCAAGGAGTTCCCTGCAGCCTTAAGGAAAAGTGACAGCCCTGATGCACCCAGCCTCCAGAAACTCACCAGCCCTGCACTGTAGTAACCAGGAAGATACTTGTCACAGATCTGCACCAGGCACCAAAACGCTTGCTGAGAAGGGCAAAAATAAGGAGGGAGGAGTGGGGCCTGAGAGGCATGGAGTAGGCAGCTCCCCCATCACCACTATAGGCCAAGATCCTCCCACCACCCAACCAGGACCACTGTGCTGACCTCAGCAGGCATGTGCATGAGCAGCACTGCAGCCACTGGGGCCTGGGCCTGGCAGTAGC